CTCTCCCCTCTCTCTCCTTCGCCTTCCCCTCTCTCCCTCTCTCCTCTTTCCCCTCTCCTCTCCCACTTTCCTCTTTCCCTTCCTCCCTCTCTCATCCTCATGCTCCTGTTTCTGTCCATAACTTCTTTTTCTCTCTCTCCTTTCTCCCTCTCCCTCACTTCCCTTCCCTCTCATTCTATTTCTGTCTCCCCTTTCTCCTTCTCCTTCCCTCCCCCTCTTTCTCTTTCTCCGTCTCTTCTTATCTATCCTTAATTTCCCTTTTACCTTCCCTTTCGTCTCCCTCTGTTTTCTCCTTCCCTCCCTTTTCCAATTTTTTCCCTGTCCGTCTCTTCCCTCTTCCTTTCTTTCTCATTCCTGTTACTCTTATCTCTCCAGTTATCCTCTCTTCCCCTCTTCTCTGGTTCTCTTCCGTCTTCTCTCTTGTCGTCTCCTTTACTTTGTGTTTCTCCATTTTCCTTTTCCTCCCCCCCCCACCATCTCCCCATCCCTCTTTCTCCTTCTCTATCAACTCATCTCTCTCCATTTCTCTCTCATCCTCCAATCTCTCTCTTCCCTCTTCTCTCCCTCTGCTCCTTTTCCTTCCTCTTCTCCTTTCCTATACCTCTCCCTTTATTAAATACATCCCTCCTCACTTTTTGCGTGTCTGTATGTGTATGTGTGTACGTATGCTTGTAAATATCTATTTATGTATATAACTATGTACGTCAGTATGTTTACAACTTCACAAATTCAAACGAGCCCGCGCTTTTTTCCCAAACTCGTCCGAAACGCGCGACACATTCTCTCCTTCCAGGTCCGAAACCAGGATCGCGGTGTCACGTACCATAATGTTTCGTTCGGCGGCAGGCAGCGTCTCCCCGGAGGCCGTAATTGGTGAAATATGGGCCAAGATTTCCGAAATAATGACCTCGAGATTTTTGGTGCGATGGTACCTCCTCCTTTCTCGTGAGTTTTAACCCTGACTGCCCTTCTGTGTGTGTGTGGGAGGGGTTGTGTGCGTTTGGGGGGAGGGGGTTGTGTGTGTGTGTTGCGGGGAGGGGGTTTGTGTTGTCGTGTTGGGGAGGGCATGTGTGGCGTGTGTGTGGGAGGTATTGTGTGCGTGTGTGTGGGAGGGTATTGTGTGTGTGTGTACGTGGGAGGGAGGAGTTGTGGGTTAGATGGGAAGTTTTTTTCTCTTCTTTTTTATTTATTTTCTTATTTTCTTTTTCCTTTTGCAGTACTTGTTTTTGTCGCTCTTTATATTTTTTTCTTTAATGCTTTTTCCCTTTTATCTTCTCGTTTTCTTTTGATTTCTTTTTCTTTTTTTTCTATTTTCTTCTTCCTTAACTGTATTCTCTCTTCTCATTCTTCTTTTCTTTTACTCTTCTTTTCCTTCTTTCTCCTTCACCTTTTAATTTCTTATTCCATCCCTTTCTTCACCTTTTCTTCCTCCCCTATCCTTTCTATCTCCTTATATCTATTCTTTCTTCTCTTCGTCTCCCTATTATACTTCCCTCCTCTCTTTCCTTCACCTTCCACCTTTTTCTTCTTCTCCCTTCACCTTCTTTCCTTTTTATCCTTAATTCTTACTTCACTCTATAACATCCTCCCCTACACCTCCTCCTCCTCTTCTTCTTCTCCTCCTCATCTCTTCCTCCTCTCTTCCTTCTTTCCTCCTCCTCTTCCCCCTTCCTCCTCTTCTTCTCCTCTTCCTTCTCCTCCTCCTCTCCTCCTCCCTCCTTATTCTTCTTCTTCCTCCTTCCTCCTTTTAATTATATCCTTCATTTTTCATTCCCGATTTTTTTTCTTTTTTTTTTTGAATGGCGTCGTTCGTGCGTAAGTGTGTTTGCGACAATAACGATCCTTACGCTTCAGTCACGACGACCCTTGACTGCGTAACGCTTGTGACGTCATAGCTCACCTGCTGACGGCATAGTCTGACGTCATAGTGGCGTCAGGGATACCAACTGTACCGTCAGAATCTCGAAGGGTGAATGAACGATTGGAGATGAATGCTCTGTGTGTGTGTGTGGTGTTGTCTGTCTCTCTCTCTCTCTCTTTCTGCTGTCTGTCTCTCTCTGTCTGTCTCTCTCTCTCTCTCTCTCTCTCTCTCTCTCTCTCTCTCTCTCTCTCTCTCTCTCTCTCTGTCTGTCTTTCTCTTCTCTCTCTCTCTCTCTCTCTCTCTCTCTCTCCTCTATCTATCTATCTATCTATCTGCTGTCTAGTTCTAGTCTACTCTCTCTATCTCTCTATCTCTCTTATCTTTATCTATTCTATCTTTATCTATTCTATCTATCTATCTATCTCTTTCGCTCCATCAGTCTCGTCATGTCTTCCAATATTATCCTCCTCTCATCTTTATCTCTATCCTTTCTATCTATTCCTTCCCATCTCCCTATCAATCCTCTCTATCTTTCTCCTCCTCACTTACACAAAAAAAAAAAAAAAAAAAAAAAACATCAGATCCTTTTATTTCCCCCTTTCTTCTTCCCTTCGAATATATATATCTATAAATTATATAATCTCTCGAGGTGGTCTTCCCGGAGGCAAACTTCCGACGTCCGAAATATACGGCCGAACAAGTGGCGGCGCGACCCTCGTGTGACGTCTTTAATATCGGTATCTCATACGGCGCGCCTCCTCGGGTGTGCAGAGCCATCTAGCGGTGGCGGCGACAACTGCTGCACCAGGGGATCCGCGTTATGTAAGGTTGCGTGATGTAAGGTGAGGAGTTTCCTTTCCCCTTTATATCTTGCCGGCGAGGGAGGAAAAGGCGGGAAAGACGAGGAGTTTCTGTATTTCGTTGGTCTTGATGCTGGAATGCGTGTGTGTGGTTGTGTTTACGTGGTTGTTCGTGGTTTGGGAAGGGATGGGGTATCATTTTTGTACGTGTGTGTGTGTGTGGTGTGTGTGTGTGTGTGTGTGTGTGGTGTGCGTGTGTGTGTGTGTAGGCTTATGTGCGTGTGGATGTGTTTGTGTGTAAATTTATGTACATGAGTGTGTGCATAACTACATATATATGAGTTTGTGCGTGCATGCATGTATGTATTTGTCTGCAACAGGAACAACGAAGGGAAGGGCAAGAAAACACACGAAAAAAAGGGCATATTCGTGTGTGTTCTTGCCCTTCCCTTCGTTGTTCCTGTTGCAATCTGTTCACCATGAATTCCACACATGTATGTGTCTGTGCGTACGTGCATGCGTGTCTGTATGTGTATGAGCGCATATCCCCGCCCCCCCCCCCCCCCTCACGAAGGCGTTTCGGCGGGCGGTCGAGCTGAGAGTCCCGGTCATCATTTGGCCGACTTGTCCCATTGTTCCGGGAAACTCGGCGCAAAATACGGGACAACAAGAACGGCAAAGTGTTGGAAAACTCGACCTTATAGCCCCTCCGGTGGCGTGGTAAAACCGCCCTTAATGGCAGCAAAAAAAAAAAAAAAAAGAAAAAAATCACAGGTCAGTTTAGCTCCGAAAACATGGAGGGGAAGGGAGGGAGGAGGGGAGTTAAATGAGAGGGAAGGAGGAGAGAGAAAATGAGAGGTGGGAGAAAATAATAGGTGGAGGAAATTATGGGGAGGAGGAAAATGTGAGAGGAGGGAGAGGAGAAAAAGGATGGGGGAGGAAAGGGATCAAATGAGTGGGGAGGAGAAAGAGGGAAATGGTGGGAGGAGGGAGGAGGAGGAGAAACATGAGGGGGAGGAGGAGGAAATAAGGAGAAGGAAATGATGGAGAGGAAGGGAGTAAATGAGGGGAAGAGGAAGAGGAAATGATGGGGAATTAAAGGGTTAGGAGGAGGAAAAAAAAATGATGGAATAAGAAGAAAATAAAGGGTAGGAGGAGGAGAAAGAAAATGATGGGGAATAAGGAAGAGGAAAATAAAGGGGAAGGAGGAGGAGAAAGAAAATGATGGGGAATAAGGAAGAGGAAAATAAAGGGGGAGGAGGAGGAGAAAGAAAATGATGGGAATAAGGAAGAGGAAAAAATAAGAGGGAGGAAAGGAGAGAGAAAGAAAATGATGGGAATAAGGAAGAGGAATAAAGGGGGAGGAGAGGAAAAGAAAATGATGTGGAATAAGGAAGAGGAAAAGAAAGAGGAGGAGGAGGAAAGAAAATGAGAAGAGGAGGAGGAAAATGCTAGGGGAGGAGAAGGAAGAAAATGATGGGAGGAGGAGGAGAAGGAGAAGTAAGGGATATGGGTTTTGTGTGCTTTTTTTTTTCTTTCTTTCTTTCTTTCTTTCTTCCTTTCTTTCTTTCTTTCTTTAAGTGAAAGGACATATGAGTATTTTACGGAAATATAGTGTATTTTCCGCAATACAGTGTTGCATTGTTACTAAAACGTACCTGGGTTTGTTTACTACAGTATTGTATTTCAATTACACTGCAGTATTCTTACCTTATCAACACGCAAACTCATTTTCGAAATTTATGTTCTTGTCCTAGCAAGCTGATTCTTAATACCTCAGTAATATATTTAAAAAAGAAAATTATACAAGATCAAAGGGTAAAAAAGGAAAAGAAATTATATAAATAACGAATGATAATAATAACAATAATAATAAAGATGTGGCAATGCGTGGATATATAATGCTATATTCAAAGAAGGAGGTATAAAACGAATATATAAGGCGAACGAAAAAAATAGAGAAATGAGGTGAAAAAAGTAGAAAATTCGTAGGAAACTGCAATTCGTGAAAGCCTTGTCATGTATATTAACATATTAAAAAAAATGAAAGCTAAAGAGAAATAAGATTTTTTTTTTTTAAGAAAAGAAATGAATCACAAGGAATCAAGATATAAAAGAAAACTATTTCATGGAACTCTTGTGATGTATATAACGATACAAAGAAATTTGATAAATAAATGAAAATGAAATAAAACGAAAAACGAAATAAAATACAAAGAATCCAAAGAGAGAGAAGAAAACTACAATGAAATACAGAGAATCAAAAGAGAGAGAGAGAGAGAAAAAAGAAAAAAAAAAATACAATTCTTTTTTTTAAGTCTTGTGATGTCGCCTTCATCTCATTCCATCTGTGACGGATCCGCAGCTCGGTGTTCGATGCCCCGGCCGTTTTGCATCGCTGAAGTTCTCTCCATTTTCCTGAATTTCAAAAAAGCTTCATCATCATGCCACGCTGGGAAGACGGGAGAGTTAGGAAATTTTTTTTTCACGGAAAGGGAAATTATAGGGGTTTTTTTCTAGATCTATTTGTCTGTCTGTTTCTCTCTTTCTTTATCTCTCTTTCTTTCTCTATCTCTCCCTCTCCTCTATCTATCTATCTATCTCTGCTCTCTCTCTCTCTCTCCTCACTCTCCTCTCTCTCTCTCTCTCTCTCTCTCTCCTCTCTCTCCTCTCTCTCTCTCTCTCTTCTCTCTCTCTCTCTTCTCTCTCTCTCTCTCTCTCTCTCTCTCTCTCTCTCTCTCTCTCTCTCTCTCTCTCTCTCTCTCTCTCCTCCCTCTCTCTCTCCTCTCTCTCCCTCTCTCTCTCTCTCTCCTCTCTCCCTCTCTCTTTCTTCTTTCTCTTCTCCTCTCGTTCCTCCCCTTTTTTCTATGTATCTTATGTCCATCTCTTTTCTATCTATCCTATCTATCTACCTCCCTCCCTCTACTCTCTCTCTCCTCTCTCTCTTCTCCTCTTCTCCTCTCCCTCCTCTCCTCTCCTCTCCTCTCCTCCCTCTCCTCTCCTCTCCTCTCCTCCCTCTCCTCTCTCCTTCCTCTCCTCCTTTCCTCTCCCTCTCTCTCTCTCTCTCTCTCTCTCTCTCTCCTCTCCTTCCTCTCGTCCTCCTCTCCTCTCTCCTCTCTCTCCTTCTCTCTCGAACAGACTGAAAGAGTCCAAAGGTTGCAGAACTTCGCTGCTAAAGTCGCCATTGGAGGCTTACGTAAATATAACCATGTTTAGCTTTAATCATTAGAATGCGGTAAACAAAATAAAAAGCATATAATACATATGTATTTTAATCTTTAAAAGCTTGCATCAGTGCTTTCCTGAGTGGTTGTTCAATCTTCATACCGTGAATGATATAACGGACACAGTTACGAGACTATCTGACAGTTTGTTAGAATTGTGCGAGACCCGACCCAAAAAGAATATTCGTTACTTGACATGCAAAAAAAAAAGAAATAATGCATATTTATCAGTCTAGCGACATGCACATCAACCCGGCAAAGAAGGTTATAATGTATATCTACCTGAATATAGAGCAGATATGCCTTTATTTCTGCGTCTGAAAAATTAAAAATTAATTGGGTTCAGGCCTGGCACAATTTTTAACAAACCGGCTGAAAGAGACAACTTATATGTACCAAGAACAAATACAGTATCGGGCACAAAAAGAATGACGCTGAGAGGCCCGCAGATATGGAATCAGATTCCATCACACTTAAAGAATACTGCGTCACTCTCTGTCTTTCAGGACAAACTAAAGAAATATCTATCACATGACTAAATCGAACTTTTTAGAATAAACTGTATGTGAAATATAACTCTAAATGTTATTTTTTACTCTAATATCTACTTTTAATAAAAAACTATTTTACAGTAAGATTAGAATATAATATAATGAATATGCATTTTGGTACTATGTTGTGATATGTTTTATATGTGTGCTTTTCCACTTATTTCTTTATATATGACCATATTTTTTGTATAATCCAATGTATTATATCAAATATATGAATTCTAACTTAGAAATATATACTTACAACTTAAATCAATCCTATTTTACAGAACTGAACCAATATAGGAAAATATGATTACTTATACTTGAACTGTGATCATTTTGTAATCAAACTGTGTATCCTACAAAGAATGTGAGAATAATCATTATATCTGTTCGGATATCATTTTATGATTAAGCAGAGAATAATGTACAATTTATTTCATTGAAATGTATTTTGCATCCATTTTATAAATATGTTATATGCACCTGTATATACGGTTATAATGATATTCATTTGTATATTGTAATGAATATCCAATGTAAATTGGAAATAAAGTTTTATAGTTTTTTATTATTATTATTAGTCTCTCTCTCCCTCTCTTTACCTCTCTCTCCTCTCCTCTTCCTTCTTTCCCCTCCCTCTCCCTCTTCCTTTCTCCCTCTCTCCCTCTCTCCCCCCCCCCCCCCCCTTCTCCTCTCTCTCTCTCTCTCTCTCTCTCTCTCTCTCTCTCTCTCTCTCTCTCTCTCTCTCTCTCTCTCTCTCTCTCTCTCTCTCTCTCTCTCTCTCTCTCTCTCTCTCTCCCTCTCTCTTTCCCCTCTCCCTCTCTCTCTTTCTCTATTTCACTCACTCTGGTGAATCATCATCACTATTGATTTATCATCATCATCATTATTATCATTATAATCATTGTCATCAGTACTTGCATTATGATTATTGTTACTGTTATTAGTATTGTTTTATGTTGTTATCATAAATCCTTTTATCATTATCAATATTATTGTTATGATTATTACTTTCATTATTATCATTATCATTATTATTACCATTACAATTACTATAATTCTATATACTATAAATCTTTTATTGGTATTATTATCATTAATACCATTATAATCATTATCATCATTATTATTATTATTACCGCTACTATCATTATCATTATAATTGTTATTATGATTATTATTATTATTATCATCACCCTTATTATCTTCATCATTGTATTATTATTCTTATCATTAGCATTTGTATTATTTTTATATTGTTATTATCATCACTATTTTCATTAGTATTAGCATTATCATCACTATAATTATCATTATTATCACTGTTATAATTTCCATAATTTTCATCATTTTCATCATAGTCAACATTTTCATTATCAACCCTTTGATCACCTTCAATATCATATTCGTTGTTTTCTTCCCAATAAATCATACAGACCAAAGATTTAATTTTTCCCCATACAATGTTGACACTAATTGATCATTTATTCGTCCCCAGTATTCGACGGATTTTCCCGCACCCGCCTGACCATAAACAAGAAATTACAAGTCGCTTAATTGCAATTATCATTCTGCAACTGCACGCGCTCTCTATTCCCGCCAGGTGATTGATACCGATGGACATAATCAACAGCTCGGGTATTGCATCGTTCTCTATCGGGTATAATTCATCAGCGCTTCGAAATAGATGTATCATGTAACTCCATTATGCTCTGGCAATAACTATCCCGTGATGGAATATATAATTGCATTATCTTTAAACAATAAATGTCCTGGTGTGAGAGGTGTGATTCATGTAGGTGGTGTTAGGTCTGGATACTCTCTCTCTCTGTTGTCTGTATTTTCCCTTCTTTTCCCTTTTTTCTTTCCCTTTTCCTTGTCTTCTTCTACTCTTTCTTCTCACCATCCCCTATCCTCTCCCCTCTCTCTCCTTCCCCCCTTCTATCCTGTCTCTTCCCTTTCCTTTCCTCTCTTCTCTCCCCTCTTCCCTCTGCCCTTTTCCCTCTCCTCTCTTCCCTGTCACCTCCCTTTCCTTCCCTCTTCTTCTCCCCCTTTCTTTCCCCCTTCCCTCACCCCCACCCTCTCTCCCTCCTCCCCCCCCCCCAAAAAAAAATGCATAGTCATATGAATATTTTAATGAGACTAATTTTCCAAGCATTTGTAGTATTGTTGTGGGAAATTTATTCTATTGTCGAAATTATTTTCCATTTTTTCACTCATTACGCAGAAGAAAAATAATCTCTCTGGTTTTATCAGTAATGGTGTTAATGGCCATGATAGTGAGAATGATATCGCAATGTAGATGTGATAATCATGAAATGTTTATGATAATGATAATAATGTTTAGAATGACTTTTAATACCACTATTACTTTCACTACGACTACTAATAGAATTAATGAAAACGATGATAGATAATGATAATAATAATGATAAAAATAATGATAATAATAGTAATAATAATAACAATAACAATAACAATAACAAACACGATAATGATAATAATAACAATACGAGAATGGAATAAGAATAGAACAATGACAACGAAAATGACACTGAAAATGGTAAAAAAAATTATAAGGATAATAATAAAAACAACACTAACATAACAACGATAACGATAACAAAAAGAACAGGCAGTCGTCTTTACATTCACAGCCAAGAATATGTGGAAAGAACATGTCACATTTTAGTCGACATTCTCCCTCTTATCTCTTATGTGTAGTGTATGATGAATTCAAAGAGTGATTAGATAAAGAGGGAGAGATATATGTATTATGTTGATATGCGTCTGGAGTGGTTGGGAAGAGGGAGAAGGAAGGAAGGGGAGAGAAAGAAGAAGAGAGAGAGGAAAGAGGTAGTGTCGGAGATAAAAGGAATAAGAGGAAAAGAGGAAGATAAATAGATAGATAGATAGATAGAGAGAGAGAGAGAGAGAGAGAGAGAGGAGGAGGAGGGAGGGGCAGGAGAGAACATGACAGAAACAGAAAAAAAAGAGAGAAAGAATGAGAGAAACTGATAGAGACAGAGAGAGAATGAGCGAGACCTAAAGACAGAAGGATAAAGACAGCAAGATAGAGAAATCAGAGAGGGAGAAATCAGAAGAAGAGCAAAGAACAAAATTTGCGAGATAAGAGAAAATCGGGAAAATATATTGAGGAAGATTAGGGAAGGAGAAGAGATTGGATAAAGAGAGAATCTAAGGAAGACGAAGATAAAGGAAGATAGATAGATACAAAAGAAAAGAATTCGTGTGAGAGCGAGAGAAAAAAGAAAAAAAACAGTATGAAAAAAAGACGGAACGAGATAGAAAGAAAGAGAGAGAAAGAGACAAAACCAGGGTCACCAAGAACGAAAAAGAGAGACAAAATGAGACGAAAGACAATGCATAATCAACACCTGATAAACGGGAACTAAGCACTGGTTCTTGGCCTCTTGTTCGCCGCCGATTCTCCCAAAGTTTCAATAGAAAATAAGATAAACTACAACAAACAAAACACATAAAAGAATAAGTGATTAAACAAACCACAGAACAGATAGATAAATAGACAAACATAAACCATAAATCAATGAATAAGTAATGAAATAAATCACAACACGGATAAACAGATACAAAAAAACACACAAATCAATGAATAAGTAATTAAATAAATCATAACACAGATAAATAGAAACAAAAATAAACCACAAATCAATGAATAAGTAATTGGATAAACCGTATCACAGACAGATAAATAGACACAAAAATAAACCACAAATCAATGAATAAGTAATTAAACAAACCTCAACACAGATAGATAAATGCAAAATAAACCACATATTAAGGAATAAGTATTTAAACAAACCACAACACAGATAGATTAATGGACAGACAAAATAAACCACATCACAGATAGACAAACAGACACAAAACTAAACCACAAATCAGTGAATAAATAATCAAATAAACCACAAATTAATGAACAAGTAATCAAACAAACCACAACACAGATAGAGAAATAAACACAAACAAATAAACCACAAATCAATGAATAAGTAATTAAATAAACCACAAATCAATGAAAAAGTAAACAAATAAACCACAAATCAATGAACAAGTAATTAAACAAACCTCAACACAGACAGACAAATAGACACAAAAAATAAGCCACAAACCAATGAACAGGTAATTAAACAAACCACAACACAGACAGAGATATAAACACAAAAAATAAACCACAAATCAATGAACAATTAAACAAACCACAACACAGACAGACAAATAGACACAAAAAAATAAACCACAAATCACTGAACAATCAAACAAACCACAACACAGACAGACATATAAACACAAAAAATAAACCACAAATCACTGAACAGGTAATTAAACAAACCACAACACAGACAGAGATATAAACACAAAAAATAAACCACAAATCAATGAACAATTAAACAAACCACAACACAGACAGACAAACAGACACAAAAAAATAAACCACAAATCACTGAACAATTAAACAAACCACAACACAGACAGACAAACAGACACAAAGAAATAAACCACAAACCGAAGACGGGTCGGAAGCGAGAGCACCTTACTCGCCCTCTTCAAACTCAACATTAAAGCATCGANAAGATTGTCTATGCAAACAATGGCGTCCTGGAGTTTCTGCTGTGCCAGTTGCAGTTGAGGTTGGCCTACGACTTCCTGCTCTGCTCCGTCTATCACTTCCGAGACATGTGTTAATGTTTCATTGAGGAAGCTCTCAGTAGAGGGCTCCAAATATTTTCTGTCTTGGAGATCACTATATACAAAAAAAAGAAAGAAAAAAGGACAGGATAAGATTAATATTTCATTTTTACAGGGATCTGCCACAGCACATGAGTCCTGTGGCCTTAAAACTTGGTGTAAAGACCATCGGATAATATCCTACAGAATTCTCAGAATGTGATATAGACTTGTCAGTTTTATTTGTAAACATCTTAAACATTAAAACTGCATAAAAAAAGGAGGTTTACTTTTCAAGAATCCTACATGGAACAGCTACCCTATGAGTATTTAGCTTAATCATATCTAGGTAAAAAGTGAATACAAAATTAACCCTTTATCGGGCAAGTGACCGTATATGATCACTTAAATACATGTATGTATATGAGGTAATTAAGATGTGTGCCGAGGTAAAGGGTTAAATCTGAGATGAACTATGGCTTAGGAGCTTAAGGAATTAAGATGTATGCCGGGTGTGTTTGCTCATGGATAACTATGGCTTAGGAGCTTAAGGACTGAAATAATGGATAACTATGACATAAATTGCATTTATCCATTTGATAGCATTCTTATTGTCACCCTTGTTATTAACGCCAACATGGTGGCTCTTGTATGATTAAGAGGATCTTCAAGAGTCTTGGCTGAATATAGATTTCTGATGCACTCTCTGGGATCCCTTTTTTCTCACCAACCATTCTCACTTGTCAGCTGAGGACTAGGACTAATTTTGTGAATCTGAACTTGAGTAAAAATGTAACATTAAATGTAACCTTGGGCAATTTATAGTTGTGATTTTTTCTTACCTCAATGGCAGCTAATATTTTTGTTCTTCCTTTACCATTTTATAACCAAATAATTTCTAAATTTGTCAAAAGAATGCTTACCTGCTGCATTGAATTTCAGACTTTTATATGAATGCAAATGGTAAAACGCATTACTGTGGTGATACTGACCACAGAAAGATATTGACATGAAGAAAAGTGAGTTTTAACAAAAAAATGAGATATCTCAAAAATCATGCTGGATTTCATTAAGATTGTCTAAGTCCTGGTAACTACCTTTCTACTTTAAACATTACTTAAATTACATGCTAACATACTTCAACTGTTGATTCATCTCTAAAATCTTGGTGGCAAAGGAGCCCTTGGAATTCTGGAGCTGGTTCAAGAGAGCTCGTCTCTGGCTGGCCTGCTCAGCTTCCTTTCTCTGCGCTTCCTCTACTATCGCCAGCAGCTTCCGTGATTCTTGTGCTATGTAATGGCTGTATTCCTCTCTGGTAGGAGTAATGAGGATATTTTAAGTATCAAAATTATGTAACTATAATACCTATAATTCCTTACGGGTAAATCAAATATCAACATAATTTTATAAAACTTACTGTCCTCTTGACATTTCAACTTTACATACTCAAAAATATCTTTGATCTTTTTCTGTATATACGACACACAGATCCTTGAAACAACATAAACCCAGTTTCAAACAACTTCCTATCTTCATCTTTTAATCCTACTGAGTTCTCGTGCTCACTCACTCTTGTTTCTTTATGATTTTGGCGTCATCTTCCTCTCGACGTCGGAGCTGGGTTTCCTCCAATTCCAGGCTTTTGTTGCGTTGGTCAAAGTACTCTTTCTTCTGCACTTCTGCATTCTTATAGATGTTTTCCAACTGCCTCATGTACTCATTGTACTTATCTTTGCATTTCCTCTGGAAAAATCAAACACAGGTGAATCTTTTTTCCCTGCACAGTAAAATAATACTAATGACAATTGCTCTGATATCATGAATAGGAATAATGTATTATTCTACAGTAACTTTGCAGTTATCTATTTCTGTGGTGATCATAAGCAGTACATAAATTAATAATTTTTTGAGGCAATTCAAATACCATTCTCAAAAGAATATTTATCTATTACTGTATCATGCCTAAGGTGTACAAACTTCTCTGGCATATATAATATCTGAATATGATCTGGCAATATCTTATTCATATTTTAACTTCTTAAATAAAAAAAATGGTCCCTAGTTTCTCAAAAAAGTATAACAAAAAATCAAGTAACGAAACAAAACTATGATGCTCTGGTTTTGGACACATAATGAGGAAATAATCATATAGTTAGTGGAGTGATACTTGGTTAGCAAATGCCAATACATGAAGAGGAAGACCAACCAGAAGATGAATAGATCAAAACAATGATAATTAAATAGCAAAGGTGTTAACTAATGCCTTTAGTGCTTTACCAAAGCTAAAAAACCTCCATACACATATATAGCAAGATAGCATATTGACTATTTCCTTATCTGGTGGCAAGCCATCTAGGTAGCCTACATGCTCAATTTTGCAAGAATATACTAGGTGGATATTATGTGTTGTCCTCTTGGTAGAGCTCTGATGGCATGGAAATCATGGTGAGTGCTTGTAGCAATAAGAATTAACCTCACTTCCAACAAATTATTTCGTATAGCTAATAATAGTGTGCTTACAGATGACCGCATTTACAGTCTGCCTCATTTTCTAGTTTCATCTTCTAATCTGATATGACATTACGGAGACATGTTGTTCGAATGACTCCAAAATACGTCAGAAAAGACAAACAGAGAGAAGTCACAGGATCTATTTCTTACCTTGACATTCTGTTGAATCTCTTCTTCTAGTTTCATCTCCTCCATTTTCTCTATGAGTTGCCTTGCATACAGGGCCTTTCGGCTGGTGACGAGAGCTTCGCATGTGGCCTCATCGTCTAGCTCCTCCTTTGGGTCTATCCACTGTAGGCTGGGACTGTTATGAAAAAAAGAATAAATAAATACATCTAATATGTAAAAACAAAAAATACAGGACCACTGTTTCACTGTTAAAATCCTCAAATGCTCACAACGTATGGCAGTCTCCAAATAGCAAGTCTATGGAAGAGAACTTAAGAGCGAGAAAGAGAAAGAGAGAATGGGAGAGAGAGAAAGAAGAATAAAGAAGGAAAAAAGGATAAGTTAAGAAAAACAAAGTCAAAATCATAAAAAAAGAAGAAAGAAAGAAAGAAAGAAGAGAGTGAGAGACAGGTAAAGAGAGAAAGTTCACCTGATGTTTGATTCCTCCTGGGAGTCAGTTTCGTCCTCTTTGTCGCTGTCCGGAGCTTCATCACTCTCGGTCTCACCTCCTGAGTCAGCCCCAAAAGAAAACCCTGGAGAAAGGGTGATCTTGGACATGTCTCCCACCCACTTGAGGCCATTTGTGTTGTAATCTGAATCCTGGAAGGGTGAAAAAGTCATTATTAACCCACTAATGACGGGTGTCCCACATATGAGACACCTTAAAAAATAAACATTGCCAGGCGTCCCGCCAGTATTGGGGCTTGTGCTCCGACGCTGCAGCGGGCAACGGCGGGTGGGTGGGCAGAGTCCGGGGCATCCCCGCCACCGATTTGTAGCTGCCCGGAATCTTTTATTTTCGGCTTCAAAATATACCAGTGTTAATGGGTTAAAGGGTGGGCTTCTATAAAATAATAGTAAAAAGAGGAATAAATCCACTTGGGACTAGGTCCGTTGATCACTGTGGCTTCCATGCCTTTAGCACTAAAGCCAACAAACCTCCATCACATGTGCATTTACAAAAGTGCTTGAGCTAGTTCTTTACTTGGTGGTAAGCATTTTGGGTGGTCTACAAGTTATAGCTTGCCAGAAAATACTAGGTGAACATTTGTTGTCCTTTTGTTGGAGGAATCAGGTCATGGTAGGTGAGCACTTGTAGCCATAAAGAATTAGCCCTACTTCCTCACACATGAACAACTAAACAATGCAGTAATTCACATTCTTCAAAGCCCTCAATTACCATGATGTTC